AACCATAGACCCAATGTTTACTCTTTTTCTTTGTGATTGCTATTGTATTATTTCAAACTCTTTCGCTATTCATCATGCTAATTTTGTACATGGTAACTTGGATCAAACCACTTAATTTTAAATGAATATGTTACATAATGAAATAAATTCAGTAAAAGTGGACTATCTAAACTTACATGATTTTGTTTTCAATGATCACTTGTTAAAACAATATGATATAAGCTTAAAATGTAGTGAACTTGATTCATAATTCATTATCGTACTGGTCATATCGGCATATATTTTATAGTTACTGTTATATCCTAGTGAAGACTAAATTACGGGTAACATCTGAGAACTATTAATGGGCTAATATTATATCAATATTCCTATTGTATAACTCTGTTCAGTAACTAGATTATGTATATTTATATTCATCTTATTATAAGCTCTATTTTGACCTATAGATTATTATGATATGATTTATTGTTCCTAAATTATGTTCAATTTATTAACTGCTGTCTCCCACGTTCACAGTCACTTTTTGGCTTGGTTTTGTATAAATGTTATTTCCTATTTTATGGAGTGATGCGGTCTATTTGGCTGATATATAAACCAAGTATGTTTGAAACAAATGATTCGCATAGTGGAAGCTGTTATTGGTGTTCTGAACTCAACTGGATGGGCTAGGCGAGCAAAGGAGCAATAAGGACACTAGGCTGCTCATACCGGTCGAACGTCATTGATTTGGCACAGTACTGAGATCGTATAAGTCATATTTCGATTGGTGAATAAATCACGTGATAAAAAGTCGAACTTAAAGACACAACAGTTAACTACTTACAATTCTCACTTTCTTTTTTTGTTTACAATTGTCAGGATTGCTTTGGATAAACAAGCGATTCGTAATCGTGCATTTTCATTTTTTTTCTAAATTCATATGATATTATTATTGTTTTTTATGAAACAATGAATGGAATAGAACATTAATTCTATCTTGTATGATATTCACAATATTTTAATTCACTACTAATTATAACGATATAAGAATCATTCAATTATGCTGACAACAAGGTTTTTATTTGAAATGTTTTCTTGAAACTACTATGAAGGCAACTACTTAACTAATTTAATCAAAAAATTTATATATATATATATATACGTGTTTATATTTTACAATGTTTATTTATGTGAGGACGGTCCATGGGTGAACTCGAGGAAGCTCTAAGAAGCTCAGAAAGAGCCGAAGATATTCTATCCCATCATCTTTTGGAAGAATATTCCAGAATCCCTGCGTTTAGCTTCCCTATTGGATAAATGCTAATAACCCCCTGTATGTGGATTGGAGGAATATAATTATTTCGTTTTTACTAAAAAACTAATAATACCTGACAGTTCTGTACCATAGTTGACACTGTTTTGGAATAGCATTCCTTTCACTTGTCTTCTGTTTCCTCATTTGCGACTTGGAGGATTCTAGCGTTCCAGTGCTCTAGTTGTACGCGGTATAATAAGATACTAAGCTCTACATATAACAATTTATTTAGAGATATTCAATCTGTAAATGTGGGATTAGTCCATGAAGCTATTGACTTTTGATGTCAGTCATGTTGGTATGTTCAAACTAACTGATTGGTATCTGCATGATATTTGTGATTAGTGCTTGGCTATTTTAGGTGATATAGATCAGAATCAGTTAGAATTATGCAGAAGTAGTCAATCTTTATCTTCTATTCGGTCTTGGATTTTAAAACCACTCTATACTTTTTATTACGTCACTTTATTATCTATGCGTATTATCTATGCCTAATTATTTGCACACCCACTAATACTACTATTGCTTCTATTACTCTGGTATCTCGCTGTTCTGGTGTAGTGTGTGAACTTCAGCTGATACACATATTTGCCAGGCTCTACGTTGCTTATGACTAAGTGACCAACTGATTGACAGCCTTGGTCACTGAGAGACACACAATTATCATAGATACTATTAATAATTATATACGCTGACCTTTGTGAAGATAACTTCATCTCTCAGTGCTGATATAATGTGGTAATTTGAACCGATGTACGTTCATCTCAGTTTATACTTTGCTTTTGACTGACTGAACTTGAAGACAATGTTATTAAGAAGAAATATACTCTTTTCTTAATAATAAATTAATATAAATATTAGTATTTCTGAAGTGAAAAAAGGGCAAATTTACTTAAAATAAAAACTTACATATTGCTCCAGTAGCCAATTTGTTAGAATCAGCTTTATCATTACTAAATTTAGTTGATGTTAAACTGTTGCTTCTACTTGTGTCATTATTTATATTTTTATTACGATTTGTAATGAGAATGGAATCGTTTTGAATTTTATCAGTAATTTGCTTCGTCGGCATCTTCAACATATCATCAACTTTTCTTGATGATGCTATTACTGATAAGTTATTTAGTATACATTCATTCATAAAGTAACGATAAACATTGATTCGTAAATTGTCGTAAGCAATTAACAAAGGCTAAATACAAAGTAAAAATCAATATTCCGTGAATAAAAAAACTACTGATATCTGTCAATTAACAATTTAATTATAGTATTCAGCTACCTGAAAAATCACTGAAAACAAGAAATCAGTGAAAATGATTTCTTCCTCATATAGAACATTTTAGTCAGTGTGTGTGGTCGGAAACCATCAGAAACAGCCTATTGTGGGAGAGAACAAACCAACTTTTAGTTGAAGAGGAAATTAGGAAAAGACACTGGAAGTGGACAGGACGTATAATTAGGAAATCACCAAACTGTATCACGAGTCAAGCACTAACTTGGAATCCTGAAGGGAGACGGTAAAGAGGAAGACCGAACAACACATTGCATCGAGAATTGGATGCATACACCAAAGGATGGATAGCAAATGGAAAGGATTGCCCAAAACATGTTTGGATGGAAAATGTTGGTGAACGGTCTATGCCTCTCCATGAGGAGGTACGCAATAAGAAAAACATATTTGGACAAATTGGTTGAAATCCTATAGTTTCCATTACCAAGTTCAGTTAATTTGTGATATGGTGTGACGATCGCATTCAGTCTATATAACATTTCCTGAGATAACTAAAGTACCCACAAGTATTTCATTTTGTGAGTAAATAACATGAAAAGTAAGGTCTCAGAATGGTTTAAATCTTAATTTGAACACTAGTTTTAAAACTAAACTATTATAGTATTGTAAATGTATTGAATTGTAAAGTAAATATCATGAAAAAAGGTTTGAATTTTCACTTGGGTATTCAAAAAAGGAAAGCAATTAATATCGTAAACTTTCAATTGTAATTCTAAGTCGAATCAATTAGAGAAAGCATGATATTTCTATTCTTTAGAAAGTATTGAAAGATTATTAAGTCTGTAGCGTGTACAGCTCAATTATTTTTAGCGAAAATCTGACCATATATGGACTTCTTAAAAAAAATAAAAGGTCAGATATATGGACAGTGACGGTCTAATATACAAGAGAATAGCGAGATAAAGATAGTATATTATACTGGTTGATTGGAGGTAATCAATAGGAAATCCAGAACATAGGATTCATGCTATTTGGCGCTCATTAACAGATTGTACCTGGAATATTGATGGAATTGATATTCTTCGAAGGATTCTAACCTAAGTTATCCAGCTTCACAGTCTGGGACATTATCGCTAGGCTATTCGTGTCAGGACTAACGTCCTATAGGGCGACGTTATCTATCATGATTAATCACTGAATATTGTGACCATTGTTACGTTTGCCCAGTTCTTTGGTGATGATTAAATTCCAACGACCAATCGTAAGATACAAAACAAAAAAAGCTGTTAAACTATTTATACTGATGTTATATGCATTTTATAATAAGTTAATAAACACCATATAACTGTAACGACACACAGGCCTACTGTAAACGCGAAGTTGACAGAGAATTATATTTTCACAAAATGTAGTTGTCACACTAAGCAAAGTTCACGTCTATCACACTGAACAAAAATTTATACCGAGTCATTACGAAACATTTTGACCTCATATAATATTACATTGAAAAACTCAATGTTATACTCATTTTTTGTTTGTTTGAATCTTTCCATTGATATTTAGGAATGCAATTGGTCAGTTTCTTATTGGTATATAGGCATTCTTGTGTGGATTGCCTTGATATTGCCTTAAGTCATAAGTATTAGAAGCAAAAAAGGATGGTGGCTATCAGTGGAATCCAGGATATGCATTTCGTACTTCCAGCTGACGAGTCTCAAATAGGATGGAACGCGTGTCCTGGATTGCACTACTAGCCACCATTCGTCTTTGTTCAATATTATACTAAATAAAATATATAGTTTAATATTGATACCCATGTCAAATATTACACTGAAAATAAATAAAATGTTACTTTGAGAATAAAAACTAATGTCATGAAATGATGCATTTAGTTAGAGGAAAAATGTGAAATCACCAAGTTATTATTATTAACAGTCGTCTGAACCAGTTTTAATTCTCTTTAAGGAATTATCATGGATTCAAAAGGATTGTCAAAGTTTTATTTATCATAAAATTTAACTTATATTTTATCCCCTTGGAAAAGTTTGGATCAGATTGTTAGGTGAAACATTAATGGTATTTAATTCTTAAATCACTGAGATTATTGAATATAAAATTCTATTAGTTGAGATCATGAGTCAATTGAAGCTAGACCAACATGGAAAACCCGAAAACACTGGACGGTTGTTTCGTCCTACTGTTGGACTATCCGGTTTTTAATGGTACCTCAAATGAGATCAGTCTGTGACGAATATAACCTATAAATTAGAATACCACTTTAAATGAGTCATGGATAAGCTGTCAATGATGGACTTATCAATGTGTTCTCTTCATGTGTCTACAAATAATTTATTCCTAAATTGAACATGCCCCAGTAATATTTTATTCTTTGTTCTAATGCTAGAGAGTTGTGTAAGTAAGTGTAATTCTATAAAATAATATTGGTAACTTCTAAAAAATATCGACGGATAACTTACATTCTCTGTATCTTCTAAATCCCATAAAATATTATTTATTGAGGGGCAAAACTCTGGCATTTCTATGAGTTGACCATTAGCCTTGATGAAAATAAAAGAATGAATAGATTAAAATTAAGTGTTTATATCATAGGGAAGTAATCTGCTATAAATAGATCAGCTTTTTTATTATCAAATGTAAACGAACCATCAGACAGAAACGAAAATATAGAACATATAACCAATTATAATTAAAAATGATAGTGTGCTACTGTTAACCTGTGATATTGACTGATGTTCAAGTGGAGTAAGGAAAGCTGAGGGTATTTTAACCACTAAAAAGAATTTAACCATGAAGTTATACACATCTGCCATGACTTATAGGCACACTAGCTGATTGTAGTCTGTGGTATTATCATAACTGGGTAGTTCAAGATGTTGTAAAACATGGTTCAAAATCAGTCTCAACGACATAGATGTATTCATTCTTTGTCTTCAGTTATATTCTGAGTTATGAAATTGTTTTCGCGCTTTATAATTCACTAATTCATTCTTTCTTCTCCAATTATAGTTTTGTGCCTAATCGTGAGTACTTCACTTCTACTCAAAGTTTGTGCTAATGATGTCGTTCGGAAGAACGATGAGAGCTCCACAACCAAACCATCCAGCTGAGAGAACAAAACTCCATCAAAGACATTGTGCTTCTTTTAGAAAATCACTGTGTGAAGTTGTACATATAATTATTAGTTCTTACAAGTGAATCAAACTTAATCCCTAATAATAATAATAGTTTGTGAGTTATAAAGAAAAGTAGTTGAGAATAGGAATGAGAACTTGCTTCCAAAAGACTTCCTTCTTTTTAACTTTTCTTTAGTTGGGAAGTGACTCATGAAGAAACTAGGAAAAGCTAACACTTATGATAAATTCAATATATGTCAGTAAGTCGACTGGCTGTCACTAATCTCATTGCTTCGATTACAGTAATATACTCATTTTAAGTGCTTATAATAAGGATTATTAATCTAGTTATTGAGAAGATATAGTAAATCAAATATGTAATCAATTCTGATAAAACCAAGTTTCCGGAAATTCATTTGAAATTATCTACAAATTTCGGTTCTGAAAGTAATATACATTTTCCAGATAGAAAGTAACAGCATTTAACAGATTAGCAATCTTGGACTTGTATAGAAAGATTATACAGTTCTATCCATAACTTTGTCTATTCAATACTGATATTATTATTGAATATCATCATTTTTGTATTTTCAGTATAGAATTGTGGAGATTGTTGAATTTCACTGAAATCGTGAACCATCTAAGTTAGACTACCATTGAAAATCTCAAAGTACTGGACACCATAATATGAGACTTCTCAGCAGTACATATCCAGGTCTGATTTTAATCATTACTAGCCGTTGGCTAGTCATCCGATTGAAAAAATGCAGTAATTTTAGATAAAATGACAAAGTAAAGGTGACTAAACTGAGAATTAAATCCACTACCATTCTGTTCAAAAACCAACACGTTATCCATTCCGTATGATTTATATTTATGGGGATTGGTATTTTTTCTTTGTTGATGTTAATTTAAAAAATGTCTAATAAAACCTTCTGATTAAACAGGAATATCAAGGTGATGAGCCCAGGACGCCCTATATGACTGTGAAGACTGATCATTTTCAGTCATTAACATCAACAAAAAGAAGGTACAAACTCTTGCTATTTAAACTGAAGGAAACTTATCACCAGCAAATGGAGTTTCGTCTTGAAATCAGTAGAAAATTGGAAATTAATAATCTAAAGGACATGCAATAGAACCCTCTTTCAACAATTTAGATTCCTTAATTTATTGCCGAAATACAAAAGTAACTTACTGGATTATAGATAAAAGCCAAACCTTTCTCATCGACAAATGCTACACGTGTTCCAATTGCATTAGGAAAAATATGAAGTATAGAACAATTATGCTGATAATTATTCGCGTAATTCCAATTCGAAATATTGAAATGAATATTTCACCATGCTGTAAGAGTAACAGAACTAAATTTATAAGTTTTATGTTGAGAAAAGAACAAAAATTAATGAAGTGTAATATATAACGAGAACTCCGCCTAGAGCTCTTCCGGGGGCTACTGCCGGTCCCAAGCCCGGATAAAGGGGGAGGGTTGGACATGGGGTTAGCGACCCCATCCCATAGAAAACCAACTCGCTAAAAAAACGCTAACCAGAAAAAAATTATTCAATATACAATAAGAAAATTGTCTACTTTTTATATCATTGCTTGAATTAGACAATAACATCATTTAATTAAAACTTCATAGAAACTAATACAGACATGTATTGAGAAGTCAAAGCAGTTACTACTATTAACTGGGATTTTTGTAATATATCCTCTTGAACACAGAGTTATAATTGGTATCATTCAGTGAGGGCGCATGCCAAAGAGAGCACATAAATTAAGGCAAGTTTTAGTAGGGGCAACTTGCTTAAGAGCGAGCATTCAAATAGTGATTTATTATTTTAGTGTAGTTATGAATGTTATTTACATCTGTAAATTTGTAGAAAACATTTGAGTATGTTTAAATGCCCAGGTTCAAATTACGTTTTATTTCACGTGAATATCTAGCATTGATCTACTCCCGTATTTACAACTAGTTCAGTGAATGATCTTACTCCCTTGTACACTTTTGTATGCCACTGCTGGACCCCTATAATAAATTGTTCGATTTTCGATTAATTTAGACTGCTTGACTTTTACATTATTACTTGAACTATGTCTGGAAGTTGATCTAGAGTCAGACTGGCAGATTCCTTGGCTACGATTTGATATACCACTTATGTTGAAGGAGCAGTTCGACTTTTTGATACTGATTGCTTTTGTGCTTACACCCTGGCTTCCTGTGGAACATGAGTATGTTCTGTTGGGTACTTCATTATAATTCCATATTTCGAATAACAAGTTGACTTACTTTGCTGTATGATATCTTGTCGTTAATCTCTTCCTCCTTTCTAAAGGTTTAGTCATTTACCATCAAGAAGTCAGAATCCTTGATAAGTTTTATATATTCTTATGCCATTCCAATCACGTATAAAAAATACTTTGGAACGCAGTTACTTGTTTATAGATATACTTTGTATCAATTTGAACAAGAGAGTTTTAATGTCCTTTAATAAGAAACCGTAACCAGTTGGGTTCAACCAAATCACATATGGGATAAATATTACCAATAGTAATTTATCATGGTAGCCAATAGGGAGAGTTAACTGAGCTTAGGAGTTTAAATCATTAGATATCAACTGAGTAGTTTGAGGTTGTGATGACCATTGAGTGACTTGAAAACCTTAGATTCGATTCCTGGAGGCATCATGGAGATGTAATGCTATAAAACTTCATACTAAGAACAAATAACTATCCAAGATTTCCTGGTTTTCCATAGGTTTCTATTGCTTTATACGATAGGCAAGTTTCAACTATTAAAATTTAAACTATCAATTTAGTAATATGTTTACTGCGAAGTATATATATATATATGAGAGAGAGAGAGAGAGAGATAAAGTTACTTACATTTTTTGATTGAGGTCATGAACCAGTTGACGTTAGACAACTTTTGGAAACCTGGAAACACTGAACGGCCGTTTCGTCCTATTGTGGGACTCCTCAGCAGTGCGCATTCACGATCTCGCCAACGGGATTCGAGCCCAGGGCCTTCAGTCTCGCGTGCGAACGCTTAACCTACTGAACCACTGAGCCGGCATCCAATGGTGTTAATGTCTAACATCAACCAATCCGTCCCACAATAGGACGAAACGGCCGTCCAGTACTTCCAGGTTTCCAACGGTGGTCTAGTATCAATTAGTTCATGATCTCAATCAAAAACTTAATAATCTCCACAACCCCTACACTGATAATTACTTACATTTGTTGAATAAATTAGAAAATCATTAGTTAATTTAAATGATGTAATCTTTAAATCAAATGAATTTGACTGAGGAAATATACAAGATTCATGTGATAAATGGTTGGTATCATCATTTCGTAAAGTTTTGTTTAATTTATTTTGACTTTTTGCCATATCTGATTTGTCAGGAAACGTTTTGGGATTTATCTAACGAATAATGAAATAATAATAATAATAACATTAATAAGGTACATTATAAATGATTACAGAATGCAGACCAATTTACTACAATGATCGTATTCAAGTAGAAGGAGAAGAAAGAACATTTTGACAACAATAAGGGTATAACATCTGAAATTTTATTATTCTTTAGGTTGTTTAGACTGATTATTTATTTATGACAAGATCAGTAATAATGTGAAGCACAAAATGAATACAAAGTGTATGATCAGATGTGATATTATTTTACAATACGGTAGTATTGATGAAATATACTAATTGTAACAGTTATAAGTCCTGTAAGCATAGTGTATGAATACATGGATTCGTTGAAACGTTTTGTCAAATTGGTACTACACATCAACTGTGTCTTCAGTTTTAAGTAGTGGCCAATGTTCCTATTTAGATCTATAGTGCGTTGAGAGGTTGTATGGTGGGATTTAATTTGTAGAAGATAGTCGAATCGTGATCATATTCATTTCATCAAAGATTACGTAACACTCATATGTTCTGCGCCGAAAATTTGAGGACTTCTGTAAAGAAAGTTAGTCTGCCAGTAATATAAAATGTACAACCTGACTCATGTACATCAGTTTATATTGCCATACCAAATTAGTAAAGCGATATGAAGTTATTCTAAGACAAATTCCATAGTACTAGTATTATTAATAGTAATAGTAGTAGTTGCAACAATAATAGTATAAAAGTTTAAATTTAGAAATAAAAGCTGTAGGGAGATTTCAAGACTCATATTTTAGATGGAGGGATGAATGAACTTCTAACAATTAGTTATGATAACCAAAATGGACCCTGATCAGGTAGTCTACATCTGTTAGCATGCCTCAGTCCAATCGTCAATGTCTTCGTAGACTGGTGCCACATCTTGGTTTGATCGTTCAAAGCTTTTCTTCAGTATGCTACTAAATCAGACAACACCACTCGTCGAAGTAGTCAGTGGGCCCAGTTGAAGAAGATTTGCCACCTCGTCAACCGATTTGCTATATTTACTTAGTATCCTATGCCTGGCCTCGGAATCGCTCACTTGATGGTGTTGAAGCACACGAGTGAGGATTCGGAGACTTCTGTAATCGAGTACTAGTAACGTACGAATATCCTCTATTCCTAATGAATATGCTTCATACCCATGAAGTAGAAAGAAGAAAACTGTTGATAAGTAAAATCGTTATTCTGATGGCAGATGGATATCTCGTCTACATCGAAAGTGATACAACTTGAGAAAGTCCTGTTATTTCATCAAACACCAGACCATCAGTAATGATGAGGCCACCAAGATAGGTGAAATGGTCTATACGCTGAAGTAATTGACTCCTTATCAATGATTCAATAGCTAATAGAACCACGAAATTTGAGTGTTGAAGTAATCACATAAGTTCCGATGCGTAATAATTAATTTTGGATATTATATATATTTTTGGGGTTTTGAAGGAAATCACATTAATGTGATGATCCTCCTATTCTTCTTTAACCCCTTGATTATTATTCAATATCATATCCTAAGTCTTGAATCACTTTGAGATGCAATCAGTTCTTAAATTCTATAGAAGAAATCAAAGTTTTCAGAAAACAATGAAATTCTTCCGTTTATTAGCTTTGTATTTATTACCCGTTTTCTGAGTGGTTCTTATAAAAGTGTTTATCTTTGCACCTATACACGTACTCGGGATGTTGTTCTAAAGTATATGTATGTATTATTTGTCAATACTTTTAAATCCGAGAAATCGGGTTGAAGAGCTATACACGGAGAAGAGGATGATGGTAATGATGGGAAAGGATAGCTCAAGACAGCTGTATCAGGTAGTTAGCTGTACTGAATTCCTAAAGAGTTATTTAAGACTAATCAGTATACAATTATGTCAATCAGACTGACAGATTAAAAACTTTGCTGATCACATTTATCTTCAATAGCATTTTCATCTACATTTTACAGAGTTCTTGAACAAATAAACATATTGAACAATCAGTAAGTATAATAATCTTTTTTAAATTTATACTCACCCAGTGTAATGTAAGTTTTCCATCTGGTCCACAAGCTGCAGCATAATTTTCATTCAAGCTTATTCGATCCACAGTAGTCAAATAATCGTATTCCGATATTAACACGATTTCTGTTGATTAAGTTATTGAGTGACAAAGATTATGATGGCTAATAACTAACACATAAATATTCACAAACGATATAATACTAACCATATAACCGCTTCATGTAATACTAATTCATCTCATTAGTTTACGAATAATCACCTTAACTGATCCAGTTACATATTACAATTATCGCATGAATCCTGACCGAGTTTGTACTTCGTGTGTACAAACCAGTTCAATAGTCAATTACTTGAGGGATTGACGTTATATTTTCATTTGTTCGATTCTAGCTACTTTTTCCAAATACACATCTGTCAATTTTAGGTGGTTAGAAGTACTTGACAAGAAACCTTGAACCTAGATTTTGCATCACCTGGTACTCATCAGCAAAGCATACTTCTAGAGCAATAATGATTGCTGTTATTTCGAACCCGGGTCACTCAGCCTCAGTCTGTCCGTATAGATATACCCAGCCCCTTGTCGTCTGTTTCATCTAGCTGGTTTGAATCTCATTAGAAGCATCAATTCCCATAAGGCCGAAGGCATAGCTTACTGATGAATGTCAACTAGTTTGAGATCTAGATTCAGTGTATTTTGTCAAGTACATTCAGCCACCTAACATCGAAACATATGCAAGTGATGTTGAGTCACTGAGAATAATGGACACATTAAGACTTGATCGATAGAATCCGATCAGCGTCATTGGCTTGGAAAACATGACATTCGTCACTATTTAGTGATCAATCAATCCAAGTGCAAATATGCGAAAACTGTTCTTGTTTTGTTTAATTTTGTGGAAAAAACGAATTAGATGAAATAATACCATAGATGAAATTATGTTCTTTTTGATTGGTCTACATATTAATGCCCCAAATATAGTCAAGCATGTTAAAATGAATAATGAATAAACATTTTAAAAATGTATGTACGAAAAAGTACACATACCTGATTTGGTCAATTCATAAAACCAAGCATGATTATTTATCCCTACAGATAGATATTTTTGTCCAAGACCAATAAACGTTGGTTCCGTTTCAATTTTTAATAAATACGATGAACGATATAGTTCAGGTAAGTCAGCTATTTGCTGAAAGTATAAGGATAGAATATCGATAACGAGTAATATATAAAAATGTTATGACCTATTGATAAAATAGTTACTTATGTACAATCAAGTTATGTGAAGAATCATATTTCAAACTAATCTACTTTGATCTATTGTTGTAAGACATTCTGATTGAGATCTGTTGAATTCGATCACGGCAATATCAACATTTGATTAGTAAGTTAGGAATTTGTCAACTTTCATTCTTGTTTTATGCTAACTGTTATGTTCGTTAGTTTATTATGATTTTGTATCATTGAGCGTAAAGTATATCATCATTTAATGACCATTTAGTTGCACTCTTTCTATTTCTTTATAAATATACTTGGATGATTTCCACTTGAATAGGTAATGCAAATTTTCCTTTTACTTAATAAGTTTTTATTACGTAGTTTGATAGAAAACAATTCATCATTAAATTCATTATCATTTCATTACATAACACTAATAATTACCAACCCTTAACTCATTTCAGACTCATGTTTTCAACCAAACTTGCTTAATATTATCAGTTTGTGTAAATAATTTCATTTTATGTTCCACACCTTTAAAAGGATCATACCGAATACTGGATTGTACAAATGTTGAATAACCTAAGGTTGAAATTATTCTTTTTATCCATATTTTCTAAAAAAATTTATCGTCCTTTACTTACAAATAATTACCTTCCCAGTTGTCTTTGTATTATGATATATCTAACCATTTGCAAACCATATTTATTCTAGCCTATTTGTGTTATAACTTTTGGCCTGTGTGCCCTGTTAATGTATACGTAATGATACCACCAATCAGAGATCAGTGAATTACCGGTCGGATCAATGACGCGTAAATCCTGTACGAGCAGCCTAGAGCCTGATTGGTCGTGCTTCCTGCCTAGCCCAGCCACTTACGTTCAGAACACAAATCTCAGCTTTTGCAATATGAATAATTTATTTCAAACATACGGGGTTTATATAAAAATCAAATAGACCACACCGTACCATAAAATATGAAACGACATTTGTACAAGAATCAGCCAAATGTGGCTGTGAATGAGGGAGGTAGTAATTAATAGACAGAGTTTAATTCAAGAATGGTAAGTCGTATAATAATAGTTCATAGGTCAAAGTAAGGCTCATAATAAGACGGACATGAATATGTATAGTTTAGTTATATAACAATTATACGATAAAAATATACACACAGTATCGGTCCATAAATGGCTCCCAAAAGTTACCATTCATTATGCGTATCGGGGCATAACAATTTGTAACTGATGGGTAATTAGAGAAACATGTGGCGAATATTATCATATTCTGGATAAGATTTTGATAATTCCCCCCTTCCAACTTAGTTAAAACGTGTGGACGCAAGTAAAGAGACTTACTTTTCAAGTGAGCAAAAAGATATGCTGGGGAATCCTGAACAGATCAAAAGGTTATATAGTAAGTGAAAAATGTAACTGTGGATATATAACTTCTGTACATATTCATACACACTTTGGCAATAGAACTCCTTGTTTTCGGATAGCTAGCTAAGTTTCAGAAAAAGTGAACCGTATAACATAACTAATTGTTGTTTTCAAGCAATTGAAGCTCAAAGGACATAAACTGGCTTCAGGTGGATAAATATGAGGTCTACTCCGCAGAGTGAACTCACAACCTAACTAGCATCGCGTTCAACTTAGACGAATTGAACCTTGTAAACGAAACTGATTTTATTATAGAAATAAATTGCAAGCAAATCCAGATAGTAACAACAAGAAGTCACATTACGTAACATCTTATATTGATTGATCATCTTATTATATATACATGTAAGTACTGTAGGGAAAATCAATGTGTACATAAACTTTATCCTAGAATATTTAACAATTGATTAGGTTATTTAGATATTTAATTTGCAGTTACGAATGAATAGTCTGTTGTTTCAGTAACATATATTTTATGTCAAAACTTTGTAAACTGACGATTTAGCCATGTTTCTAATTTTTTGTTCGTAAAAATAGAATCTTTATTTTGCAACTACCTGGGTTATTTCAGTTATTCAAATAGATTATCATGAAATGTAACACTCTTTAGAACTTGCATGGAAAAATACATTTTTTAAGTATGTGAACAAAACTTATATTACGCCGTTTAGCACAAATCATAAAACAGTGTTTGCTTACTATAAAGAGATTATCAGCAGTTAATGGAAATAAACCAGGTACTACGCTCCTAGACTATGTAGTTCATTATAGGTAAACAGAGTAATTCAAGTCAAAATATCGTGAGAAGACGAAATTAGGGTAAATACTTTTAAAAATTAAAAATATAAATCCAAACAGTGAAATGGAAGTATCAACGAATTAGAAAATGTGTACTGTTGAGGCACGAAGAAATCTTACGTTATGACTAGTTGTAAGTTAAGCTACTTACTAATATTGAGTAGTAAATAAATGTACAAAATGCAAAAAGATAAGAGAGGAGTTAGGGAATAGATTTGACGTACATGCGACTTCATACAAACTTTTTAAAACTGCAAATAAGTTAAATAAAACCATAAATTCTTTGGAGAACATAGAATTCATGAACTAGTTAATTTATTCATTCCAATCAAAATTGAATTCTCAAAGTATACAACATATAAATAATAAGTCCTTATACACGTAGTAATTACCTTAGCATTTGGAATAGGTTCCACAGTAACCTCCAACAAAGAAGTTAATCTTGCCAATAGATTTGTACTATTTGGAGAAGCTAATGAAGCTAACAATGGTAATTGACTTAGAAATACATGTAAAAGTTTTTGTGGTGTACAAATAGCCATTAATTGTCCATCATCTGACCATTGTAACTGATACTTCAATAGATTATTGTCAATACTTCCGGTACTCATATTATTGTTCTTATTATTTAAACTATTCAGTTCTTCTTCTTGTTGCTCCAATTCAATAATTGCAGTTAGTTCACGAATATTTTGGAGGTCATGGATTTTGACACTAAACAAATTAGAGAAAAAAAATCGTAGATCGCTTATATAATTATTCGTAAGCAGTTGAATTATACCATAGTTGGCATTCATGACTGAATTTTTGATCATTTTTCGTTGATACATGTGGGTACTTTGTAGACTGATTCGAAAATAGCAATTTCATAACAGACTTTTTCAGAATAGGTCGAATTTAGTGACCTATGGGGCTTAAGAATCTCGTCTCATCCTATTTGCGATTGGTTAGCTGGATGTGCCTGTCTTTCGTCGTTAATGTTCAGATTTGAAATCGAACTCAGTACCTTTCTCTTTGAATGTCAGCACGTTATCCATTGAGCCGCAGAGTCAAGACCACTACCAACTTGTTGAATGGATATGATGCTTTAAGTGTTATTAGTGAAAATGTGAGTCCCAGTATGAACATCATAACTGAGATGTAAATGTATCCAGTTGAGGGACCTCTCATCATGTGAACCACTTGTCCTCAATTCCACTGCTAGTTGCAATTCAAATGTACTAAACACTTAATAATAATTTTTAAAATACCTAATTAAATTCACCTAATATTCTTAAACAGGTGACTAATATACACCAAAGTATTAGTTATTTAGGCTGAACCAATAAAAACAATCATAATGATCCGTCTAAATTCCGTTTTTCACTGTATAAATTCAAAAATGGCTTTGAAGAATAAAAATTTATCTTTTCTGTATCAAAGAGTTCATGTTTAATGTATAAATAACTTATCAAACTAGATGAATAAACAGATCTGTCAACATCATATCTTACATAAAAAATATTTTGCTTGATTTGTCATGTTTTCGCAGCAATTTAGACGAATAATTAATAAAAGTGACTGGAATTAACATTTAACATTAATAAGGATAAGAAAATCATTAGATAAATGACTTCCACTTATCATTTAAACTCTCTATTCATTGTTTTTGTGACATTTTGAAGATTTACAGGGTTTTTATACCTATCTACATGATTGACATCAACAACAATAAACTTTTAAGGCGAACGTCATATATTTTCTTGATTACTATATGATAATTACAAGTAATCTAAGTGATATGCTTACTAAGAATTTCCAAACCAGTGCAATTAAAGACAGGTAGAAATAGACTAACTCAACTGGACGCATGATATTTGAAATTCGTGATAAGTGCGTATTCAAGTACAAAGGAATCACCACTTAGTGTAAATGCCACACATCCTCAGGTATTTTAGAGTCTTATCTTACTTTAGATAGTGCTATAAACTTTAGTAAGCTGTGGCTCCCCATATATAAAAATCCCAATAGTTGAAGTATCACAAACCGACCAACTGAATCAATTTCGTCCAGACCGTTTACATCTAATCTCAAAACTGATCACCTAGTGTTTCCTCCATAGTGTTTTTATGGCATATGTTGTCAAGTAGATTTAACTAAGAGATATCTCATCAGCTTTAATGGTTATATCTAACAATTGAAGCGCAGCATAAACTACTGCCTAAATATACATTTACTCTTCGATGGCTATACAGAAAATTTTGGCAAGGAATTTTTTAAGATGACGCATTAATTTAGTAAAAAAGCACCGAATCAAGTTGCTTGTTGATAACATGACAAAATATACCGAAAACCAATAAAATGGCATGTACAAAAGTGAATAAGTTCAAATGATTATGCTTTGTAGTAGTGTGTTAAAAGAAGTTTGACAAAAATGGAAATGTGTTAAAACATAGGAGGGTAAAATGGGTAGAGAGATGATAAACAAATGAAAAACAATAATATGTTCACGGTTTAGGTAAAGACGAACGGCAAATCGGTTGGTAGCACTGTGGTTGAAGACTGTTAACTGTTGAGTATAAACTCTAACTAGTTGTATTTATTGCCTTGAGGAACAAAGTGAAGTGTCTAAATTACTAAAAGTGACATCACACTAGGCAAGGACAGAATCTAGCATCGCGCATCATCTATGGGTACTGTAACTCGGAAACAATTTATGTTTAAAAATCCACATAACTTACCAACGATCTCCCACAGTTGCACATCGATTTAAGACCGTAGACACTGAAATATCATGTAAACTATCTTTATGATCACGAATTTGATAGATCTCCTTTAAAAAAAGAAATAAACATCAATTTGTTACATTAATTTTTTGAAAAAGTGTGTTACTTTTCCGAATTCACTTGACTGTGTGGAAATCACAACAAAGTAACCACATGAAAATCCAACCATAATGTATCCATCACCGAACCAATGGTATGCAATTATATCACCATAGGCTTGACGAAATGCCAGCTCCAATGGATTTTCCATATCGTTCAGATTTAGCAAAAATAATTTCTTCTTACCAATGATGCAACTAACCTATACAAACAGAAGTGAGTAGTAACGAACAAACAGTTAAACCATTGGTAATGTTATGAAGAGTTAATTCATTATATTGATAGTGTAATGTTTTTGCCATACTGCAAACAATAAACAGGTTTATGGATAGCCCTAAGTTTTATTTAAGATAAAAAGCCAAAGTCTGCAACCAGAGCTTTTAGGTTTTTATGTTAGGAAAATCTAAAATTCACCTGCTTTTGTCCTTGCTATAATAAATGTTATTTTTATATCTACTGAGCATCTCGAAGGACGAAAGTAATGTTAAAATAAGCCTTCCATATCTTGAAGACTGCTTGTACGTCGAATGTGACTTCTTTAAATAGTGGTGAAAGTGATTTTCATCAAAGTACACACCACACCAGGTGGTCGGTTGAAAGAATTCTTCATAAAAGTTTATTTGACTTCAGAGAATGAACACAGATAAGTTCGTCTTTATCGTCTTCCTGCTGAATGGATGATAGCCCAGTTAAGGTTTCATTCATATAACTTGTAAATGAACCCACTTATAAGCTTAAGTCGCCCTATATCTGATTCCAATTAGGTCGTATGATTGATTGCTATTGGAATACATATCGTGTATCCTCGTATATAGTTATCAACTTGAATCGCGTTAGCGAATAACGGAATTAAATAAATAAAATACGAGAATGAATTTCGAATACGTATATTTCATACAATCACTGGTCCAAACAAAAGATTGGAGAAGCGAAAGCAGAGAGCGAAGCGAAGTGATGAGCAGTGGAGAAGGCATGTGATTCAACTGCATTAATTAGCTACATTAGTTTTTGTGCTTAGCATGATAGGTGAACAGCCACAATCATAATGTAAGACATACTCATCAATATAAAACTACTGACTTAATGTGAGTCAAACCTTGACTTACTGTATTGTCTTCACTTCCGGAGGTAACGTCAAGTTTCATCCGGCCAAAGTCCAAACTTAAAGGCTGATCATGTATTACGGTGTGTTTAATTAAATCGCCTTCGGAAGAGTTTATAGTGATGCTTTTATCGTCGCTTGCCAGTGCTATAATGTTGTTTCTGTTCCACACAGCACATGTTATTCTTCTGGTATGTTTTCCGAGAAGCGATGTTTTTCTATCAATAAGCAGGTCATGAAAAACTCACTTCAAATTCTTGTGATTGTATATGATAAGGTTGCCTTTACTTGTCCCGATAGCTAAACGACTTCCTACCTTAGACCAAGACAAAACAGTTAGGTTATCTCTGCTGATACGTCCCTAGATTCTGAGACATTTACCTCACTCCAGTATGAATTTGGCTTATTTTGAAAGAAAGAGAATCCCATAACGTAGCGGAAGATGTTTTATCATCGATGATAGCAAGATTGTCACCATCAGCATCCCAGGACATGGAAATAGCCTCTCTATAGCTAGTAGAAAAGGCGGCTTAATTACCCAGGTAAAGGTATTTCCAGTTTCTTCTCACCATGACGATCAAAAATGTCAACTGATTGATTGAAACTGTTGAAAATGTAAAAATAAAACTAACATAAGAACTACCCAAAAGCAGCCACATATGATGATCTACAATTTTGCAGCTCGAATGATTTTTCACTGATGCCATGAGAATTTATGCTAGTTGTGAAAAGTTTCTGAGTTATTTGAGTTAATTCTGAATAGCCTCACCTTCATTATTCTCAAATTACCGCTGAAATAAGCGTCCCTAGATTAGCACCATTCAAAATGTCCTATGATGAATAATTCTTCTAAATATCGTAGAGTTTTGTCATTTGTTGACCTATTCATTGTACGCCAACAAAACTTTCAACTCAAGAAACCCTGGAAATCAATAGTTGCCAAGGTCCAATAAGGTTCTATTTCACTGTTTCCTCGTCGAGTCAATCTTTTTAGTATTGATAATATCTCAAAGGCTTTTGTATTTACTTAGGTTGGTAGCACACACATCTCAGCTTTTGTGTTCAGTGTCTGTCACTTTTAAAGCCTTAAAAAGTACTTACTCTAGAGATTAGTTTTTCTGCTTCTTTATTCCTCTTGCTCATTAAGGGACATTTTCCTGTTCTCTCTGGGAGGTCGCTTGACAACTTTAATGGCTCAAGTGAAACCTCGTTGTGGTAGACCAGTATGCTTTTCTTCGGTCGAGGGTGGTGTACAATGTGACAACTACAAAAATTGGTACCACAACGTCTTCATCGATCTTACACAGGCTTGACATAAAAGGCACAGGAACCCACTATCACGTTGTTTGTGCAAATCATGATGCTCTGCAAAGTCTCTGCCGATTCTTGAAGCAATTGAGTTGCTGAACGTAGTTAGGAGTCTGCCCTCAGATAAGCAGGCAGAAGTAGATGAGATTACAGTTTTCGAGGAAACAGCGAACGTTGTCGTGAGCTCAGCTATGGACTTGAGTGAAATCATCAAAATGGACCTGATTAAAGAATCGGATAACAAACACAGATGTAGGCATGGTTACGAGAAAAACGAAAAAGTACGCTGAGAAGAAAAGAATTATAGGCAGCTCTAAGATATGTGAGTCGACGGTTCAAGCTTCGGATTCATATATCATCGCAAAACAGACTATGAGGGAGCACAGCTTGAGCGGTGTATATGTTGAGATCATGAGACATAATATGGTAAATGGTTGGCTTACAATTTTCCTCAGAAAAGTAAGGAAACAGTGAGACTTTTGTGTCTGACTCAAAATTAGACTGCAGGGACGAGATTTCAGGCAAATACCTTCACAACTTGTTAATATGGACCTCACTGATAGGCCAGTCATTTTTCGTAAGTTAAGAGAATCCTCCGAAAAGGAACCAAAGGCTATATTTGGGAACGATCTCAGCCACAATAAGTCCTTAATAAGCAAGCTACTCTCAGAAACAGTTTCAGGAGCTAGCATCTGTAATCTTTATAGAACAGGACAAAAAATGGATTCTGAAAGTACTCAGAAAATCCATGTCTTAAAGGTTGTTCATGCTTCGACTGAATAAAGAAACCTGTTGTTGGGAAATTCAAGCGAACCGATTGGGTCCAGAATATACGTCCGTGAGGATCTAAGCCTAGTTGACCTTATTAAAAGACGATTGGCAGAAGTAGTAATAAACGAGCGCCGCCGAAACAGTGAAAAAACCTCGTACTTAAGGGTCTTCAAATTGTGAAAATTCGAAGCAAAGCGATCCCTAATCCACTCTGAATGGTAAGGGAAAGATCTTCATATAATTAAAGATGTACTACACAAATGCTCGTAGCCTACTAAATAAAATGGCGGAGCTCGAGACAGTGGTGGATATAGAAAACCTTGACACCCTTGTTGTCTCAGAAACATGGTTAACGTCAGAAGTGTTTAACAGTAAAATTCAGTTGATTGCTTTTTTATCCAGTACGGCTGATAGACTAAACTGTGGGGGTGATATGGTTATTCTGTAAACGAAAAGTGCTTTGATCATACGGGCAGTTGAGACAGTGGCACAAGATTTAGGGATGTGTGGGGTGGTGCATTTCAGGCTGAAATATGGACGGCAGGATGCTGAACTAGTTGTGGTATACCACAATGCAGATTGTGTAGTAGACGGCTTCCTGCCAAGCAAACTTAAGTCTCGGTGTAATAGGGGTAGAAACCATAATTACCCTAGCCTTATTTCAGCGCATTATAGATCCCACCAGGTATGACGCACAAAACCCATCGCTCTTGGACCTAATCTTTGCTCACGGTAATGACATCACTTGCTTAACTTTCCTCCAATCTTTGAGGAGAAGTGATAATATAGTCATCCTATTCAAGTTCATGACTGCGCCGACACATTCTAACATATGGAGGGCAGATATGAAGGAGATCAACTCTGGAGCATCGACCGAAAACTGTATAATTGATTCAGGGGCATCAGCAGAAGACGTGTGAACTCATGTTCGGCAGTTATTCAATCGAGTAACTCAACCATTCACACCCTGAATAGCCCCAAAGGAGAGACATGGCCTTTCATGCCTTTAGGTAACACTCGTTCTATTGATTTAAGAAACCAGACTAGTAGTGAATAGTCTTTATTTAGTTCGTAAGACAGCCACAGTGGAGCGAGAAGTTACCTTGTAGTGGCATTGGACAATAGCCACACAATCCACAAAGCTGAACACGAGACTACTCAGAAAATAGATATTCAATATTTAACGCGGAGAAATACCTAACAATGGAGAAGGCGCGAACAATGAATTGAATGGACGGGAGTTGATCGAGTGGCATGGCTCGGCCATGCAGGCGTGGTCCATGCTGGATGTTATCTTATATCTCCTATTCATATTAAATATATTGTTCTTTCTCTAGCCTAAGCTTGTTCTTCATCATGTATTGGTAATTGATACGAGACAGTGAGTTGGCGTAGTCGATGATGTGACTTGCACGTAAGATCTTATAGATTAGGCAGTTATATCATGACAAATCGACAAATTTAGGATTAGGTCTATTATTAGAGCAGCACTAATGTTATAGTAGACCATAATTCTACATTGGTGAGCCCAACTAAAGAAACGCAACCTATTATTATTAATCCTTATTTCCACTTCAACTTTCTCGATCGATTTTATATTTATGTTAACCCTGTATTCTAATAGTCCTCTGATTAATGCTCACATGCATCATTGTAATGTTATATTGATTAGTCCTCATGACAAACTAGCTCAATCGATAATAAAAACTGGTCGTCTATATTAACTAATTAGCTTTGATGGTTTGTTAACAAGCTGTAATAGCATTTACATGCTTCAGCGACATAGTCTTGTTTAAACATCAAGCTCTAGCAAATATGACCTGTAAATAGCGTAAATATACATTGACTAACAATGCGATCAAGGACTAAATAGTTATCTGGATCTAATTCTCAGTGTTCCTTCACTTAACACCTCATCCTGTTTTAAACGATGCACTATCCTGTAATATCTTTTCTTCCGACCACTGCCT